ATTCTCATTCTGGGAAGCCAAAAAGGAGAGGATGGAATCTATACACACCACTCAACACGCAACATACACATATACACGACGAAGACAACGTGTGAATTAAACGTTAAGTGGGACCAAAGGCAGACAGCATTACACAATGGTTGATGAAGCTTTGAAGCTGAGAATTTTGTGAACATATGGGAACACGTGACCGCGGGTGAAGTGACTGAAACGATCCTGCCCCGGAATGTCATCCTCCTTGAAATCTTTGTCAGGAGTAGTACTGTCTCTGTCAGCTTCCGCGATGGAGCTATATACTCGGCACGCCTATTATGTACCCAGGGGATAACACAAGTGGCGTCCCGTCAACGTCAACTTGTACTTTAGCTTTCCCCGAGAAGATCTAGCCGGCGCCGACCGTCGCAACCAAGACCCAATACTTAAATACGAAAGCACTTCATATAAACAAGAAGTCCTAGCAGTCGCAACTGTTTCACTCCGTTCGCTCCAATGGATGTCCGCCAAAACGACGTCGAGAGTGTCTCTGCTGAGCCTCTAGTCAGGTCGCCAAGGGCTGTCAAGGCGAAGAAACCTTTCCCCTCCTTCCAGCTTGCGATTCTCTTTCTTCTCAAGTTGACCGAGCCCATCAATTCCACCGTCATCTACCCCTTCGTCAACCAGCAAGTTCGCGACACTGGTATCACGCGCGGAGATGAGTCGGCGACAGGTTATTATGCTGGTCTCATTGCAAGTCGCGTCTTGTCTCTATTCATTCCCGTGACTCACTTCTGTGTAGGAATCAATATTTTTCTTTGCAGAATGTATGAGTGTCTTTCATTGGGGACGACTTTCAGATCGAATTGGTCGACGGCCGGTGCTCCTCATTGGTCCATTCGGTCTCGCGTTGGCAATGACATCTTTTGGTCTCTCGCAAAATTTCTGGATGCTAGTTTTGTCCAGATGTGCTCAAGGAATCTTCAATGGCAACGTTGGTCAGTTCTATTTCTATCTTTCTCAATAAGAATTTAAAGATAACCGGATTTCTCGCACTTGCAGGTGTTGCAAAAAGTATGATGGTTGAAGTAAGGCACTGGCAGAGCCTCGATCGGCGCCACTTAGCTGATCCCCTTCTTCGCAGATTACCGATCCCGCGGATGTGCCCATCGCGTTTGGTTGGCTCCCAGCCATGTGGAGTACCGGAATCACTTTGGGGTGTGTGATGTAATGATTCCTATACCTGGCAGCGACTGACGTACAGGTACGGCATATAGGCCTCTCATTGGAGGTACCATGGCGCAACCAGCTGTTCGGTGGCCCGACACTCTCGGACACATACAGTTTTTCCGTGATTATCCCTACTTCCTACCTTGCGTCACCGCAGGAGGAATAGCTTTTATTTCTTTCTTGTATGCCTATTATTTCCTGAACGAGGTATTCTATCCTTGGCCTAGTTCCGCCCTGAAACTGACCATATGGCTCAATAGAGTCTGCCCTCGGCGATTCAGCGTCAGAAGCGAGTCGAAGCGGGAAAAGCTCAACGTTGTCTGGTACAGGACCAGCCATATGCTCCCCTTCTTGATCCTCGGGAGCCTGTTACCGCATACGGAGCACGACAAGAGCCTACTGTAGATTCTAACGACAGTGCAACTGGTGCACGAATACTCGATGCTCCCCCGCCATTGTTATCACTTCTTTCTCGAGACCTTATAATTGGTCTTGTCAACCACGGCTTCTATTGCTTTCTTGATCAGAGTCACACTGTCCTACTTCCCCTCATGCTGTCCACTTCTATCCAACATGGAGGCTTGGGCTTTGACTCTTTCACCATTGGTATGATCATGGGAATCTGGGGAATTTCCAACGCGATCTTCCAGCTTGTATCTTTTAGTCGGATCGTCAAGTGGCTTGGTCCGCGAACAACCTATAGATTCAGTTTCATGTTCTTTATCACCTCATTCGGCGCATATCCACTCATGAGCGTTCTGGCGAGACGCACCGGTCATGCTAACACGCACGTGTGGTTCGTTCTCGTAATCCAACTTACCCTTCATTGCTTTGCCTGCATGTCATATCGTAAGTACTTTTGAACTCTTCGTGTATTCAAACGTATCTAACTATACTACAAGCGTGTGCCCAGCTATTCATTTTGGATGCCGCGCCTGGCAACTCAGCACTCGGAGCTGTGAATGGTCTCTCGCAGATGATGAGCTCCGTCGTCCGTACTCCCGCTCCAACAATAGCGTCATCTCTGTTTTCCCTCTCGCAGGGGATGCAGCTTCTTGGAGGATACCTTGTGTACGCTGTGATAATCTGGATTGTCCTAACTGGCTGGTCGATGTCCCTCTTCCTCCCTCCGACACTCCGCGGACAACTTAAGGAAACCTGAGTCCGACGTCGGCTTCTTCTGGATTCCTTCTCTTGCAAGGAACTATATGTACACATTTGTATCGTACTTTTGGCTTCAGGATCTTGGCATACTCTTTCATAACCCTGTTTGAGAATTGTTTTAAAAACAGAGATGTCGCCGACATCAACATTCATGAGAGTCTTTGGAAGGTCTGTGCCTATCCTTTGAACAACTGGAGTGGTTTTCACTCAAACTGTATATCCGTTGTTTAGAATCATTGGATACTTCGGATGCAAATGTCGTGGTTCTATTATGAGAGATTGCATGAATGAAAGCCAAGTTATCTTTTGATCATCGCAATGACGCAGTGAATCTCGACCTCGGATCGTTATAGTAAAAGACAGCTCAAAGTTTAGTTCGATCCCTTGGTACCGGCACCGACTCGTCGACGATGAATACGTGCGACTCAGGTGATGTACTAAGATTGATTATATTGATGATGGATGCATCGTTACCTTCTCTAACTTCTCTTCTGCCTCTACTGGCTCACATGGACGCAGAACGTAGTATTTCCAATGACCAGGTCATTTCCCAACCCATCACCAAAAAGCCCTTTCCAATAGTCCAGTTGTCAATCATATGGCTCATACAATTTACGGAACCCGTGTCGAGCACTGTCATCTACCCCTTCATCAACCAGTTTGTCTCCGAGACTGGTGTCACTCGTGGGGACGAGACTAAGACTGGGTATTACGCTGGGATCATTGTACGTTTTTGCCACATTTCAACCTTCGAAGTCTTCGATTAGCGCTGGCCTTGTGACCCAGGAATCAGTCTTTTTCCTCGCAGAATGCTTGAGTGTATACCATTGGGGACGACTATCGGATAGGATTGGGAGGCGGCCCGTTCTTCTCCTTGCTCCTCTTGGCCTCGCATCAGCCATACTCATCTTTGGCTTGTCGCAAAATTTCTGGATTTTAGTTCTTGCTCGATGTGCTCAGGGGGTGTTCAATGGCAACGTCGGTAAGTCGACCAACAGCAATAAATTTAACCTTCAGACGGCCTTCTGATGCCAGACTCCTCGTCAGGTGTTGGGAAGAGTGTGATGATTGAGGTTTGTTTTATGTCACGATGTGAGTTTATGAGATCCGAGAAAGAAGGATGACAGATAACCAATCCGGCCGACGTTCCAACCGCATTTGGATGGATCCCAGCAATTTGGAGTATTGGCATCACTGTTGGGTGCGATGATCAAGAGTATGGAAGGATTGCTTTATTGACATGAACTTGTTTTGAAAACATGCAGGCCTATTATCGGTGGTACTTTTGCACGTCCTGCGACTCGCTGGCCGGACTCCTTGGGCCGGTTCACCTTCTTCCATGACTTCCCATACTTCCTTCCGTGCGCGATGACAAGCGCAATGGCGTTCGGCACCTTTCTGTACACATACTTTTTCTTACAGGAGGTGAGTTGTAGCTATATTTGCGTCATCGAAGGCATGTATACTATAAGCGTCTTCGTAGAGCCTTCTGTCTGCGATCAAACGGAACACCGAAGTGAAACGAGCTTCGTCGCCGATGCAATGTGAAGGTCCAGATGCGACAGCGCCTATCTTGAGTTCCGGAGAGTCTAATGTTTGTTATGGGACACTGGAGTCTCTAATCGAGAACCACGTCAGTCCCGCAGATCTGCACCCTCCGCCGTTTCGCGCTCTCCTTACTCGCCAGCTTCTTGTCGCCTTGATGTCCATTGGGTTCATCGCCTTCATAGATCAGGGCTTTGGAGTGCTGTTACCATTAATGTTATCAACCTCCATTCCGTTGGGTGGTTTGGGATTTGACCCGTACACAATTGGAATGACGATGGGTACGTGGGGCCTCCTTAATGCAGGATTTCAGGTCTTTGCGTTTCCAAAGTTATTCCACCGGCTTGGACCTCGCAATTTATGTGTTATGTGCTTTGGTTGCTCCATAGTGACTTTCTTGGCCTTTCCTTTAATGAACATCTTCGCAAAACAAACAGGCATGGTGGACTACAGGGTTTGGGGTGTGCTTATTCTTCAACTTTTCTCTTTTTCGTTCGTGTTCATGACGTATAGTATGTGGAATTCTTGTCTTACATCTACATCTATCTTGCGTTCTAATGAGTCGTTCATGCCAGGCTGCACTCAACTGTTTGTTATGGATGTGGCACCTGGTCGGGCATCGATCGGAGCTGTTAACGGACTGTCACAAATGACCAGTTCCATAGTGCGAACCCTGGCACCTACCTTTACGTCTTCGTCGTTCTCCCTCTCCGTCCAGAAACAATTGATTGGAGGATATCTGGTGTATGCAATGCTCGTAGTGATTTCTCTGTCATCTGTGGTGATAGCCACCCTACTTCCCTCTCACCTTCATAACTGAAAGCAATAAGCATGGGAGTGTCTGGTTTCGCTTGATATGGAGATAATGAAGGCGTCACTCCTAACATACACCGGCAAAACTGCTATTTACCCATGTACCTGAGCGTCTCAGATCTCAACGTTTCTCAACACGTATCCCTTGCCATATACAAAAGGCTGTCAAAGCAAGAACGAATTTGGTCTGTATGCGAACCATGCAAGAGTCGATTTCAAACGTGACAACCTGGCCCTCAGCCTTCTAACTCCTTTGGATGGGAAAAACAATCGACTGGACACACCCGGAATCGAACCGGGCACCGCCCGCATCCGCATAAAGACATGCTAAGCGGGCGTGATAACCAACTACACCATGTGCCCTACGACAAGAATTATCGGGCCGATACACCTTAGACATATATCTAGCCCTGTGTTTCCGGCCTGTTGGGCTGGCACTGGAATGTACTATAGTTTTAGAATTTTGATCAAATCATGAATAGTAAAACATTGATGATACCTTTTACCAATTGGACTTCTGGGTTCAATACTATAACTTCTTGAAAAAATGTTACTGCACTAAGTTAGAGAACAGTGGATGTGTTATTGTCTTGGAATAATGTTGGTCAAGAATATTCCAAAAGTTGGGTGTTTCAAAACTTTTATCATACATCATAACACTGACTCATACAACCAATTTCATCTCCACTCTAGCAACTCATACTCCTTCCAAGTTGACATGTAGAATCCTAGACTCATGATATTGGGTAAGTACAGTTGTAACTCAAGAGGATCTTTTAAGAGACTACTTAGAAGTAATTAGAAAGTATGTACAGTAAGTACAGATGTATAATAAAGGATTATACTGGTCAAGATATATAGATGTGTATTTCTTGATGGCATATGCTGCCTACTTAAAATTGAGACTCCTCCTAAGAAATAGGATGTCAGAAAAGCAAAATATCAGATGCAAATGTTCATACTTATATGCATCCATATACTTCCAGGAATGATGGAAGTATTATCTGATATTGTCAGTTGAATAGCTGTCAAAGAGTAAGATGTGTTCTACATGTGCTGGAGGAGTTTTTATCATGTTTACTTGGCTACACTCTTATAAACATATTTTCCTACTTTGTCATGCCTCAGTTCATATTACTTTGTAAAAGTGCAACTGAGGTATGTTCTTTATATCACTTTACATTGCATATGCTCATTATCTATGTGTCCTAGATTGTGTTCATGCTGTTTAAATATTCAATTCAGTTTGTCTTACTTCATAAAAGTGCAACTGAAATTGTATTTATGCTGTTTAGCTGTACAGCCATCTAGCTACAGCATGCTGTCAATAATACTGGTCCCTGATAAATTATAAGCTCCATTGCCTAATACCATTAAAATTGAATGAACTCAACAGAATATACATTCTACATTCATGTTACTGCTGTGCAAAATCAAACTTCTGTTTTTTCCAAGATCATCCAGATCATCCTTGACCAACACAAGCCTGCAAAAACCTACAACCTGCATTATGTCATGTCATTCTCTAAGACAACCACATGCCTCATACTCACTGGACCAGACAACTTTCAAATCTGGAGGATTTATGTCACAGCAAAGTTGTGCCAAGAAAAAGTTTGGAACATTGTTAACACTCTTCTCCCAGCTACAAAAAATGCACCAGTTATATACTCAAGCATGTCAATCCAGCCACAGTCCAACAGTTAGTCCATTTGTAATTCAAAAGCCTTTAGCATCATTGTCACATACATATCAGACCAATTAATGCTTGAAGTTGGTGATTTGCTACATGCCAAGGATATATTAAAAAAACTTGTTAAAATTCACAAAAACACCAATGTCAGAGTTAGCACTTTCTACACCTTCATTTTGATGTTTAACAAAAAATAGGATGGCTTATCATTAACTCTCAGCAACCACACACCTTTATGAATATGTTTTTTTACTTTGTCATGCCTTAGTTTGTTTTACTTCAAAAGTGCAGCTGAGATATGTTCTTTATATCACTTTACATTACATATGCTCATTACTTATGTAACTTAGATTGTGTTCATGCTGTTTAAGTATTTAATTCAGTTTATTTTACTTCATAAAAATGTGACTGAGATTGCATTCATGCTTTTTATTGTTGGTTAGTTTAATGTTAGTTGATATTGCAGATGAAGGATCAAATAGTGGTAAAGAAATTAGTTGAGGTGAAAGTTTCAGTTGTTTCTTAATCTTGGCTCTACTAAGACAGAGCTTACTATGATGCTTAATGATAAAATTTGACACATGTACAATGTAGCTGATAAAGTGACTGCTTTTTCTTTCATCTCCAGACAAAGTTTTTTAAGTCATTTGTATGAACACATATCTCATTGTGATATATTGAATAAAAAATTTTTCTTTGTCATTAAGTTTTAGAGTGGCCTCCACAAGATTTGAGCCTTTATAAATGTAACAAAAACTATTAGATATATGAGAATTTAAAATATGCAAAAATTTAAATAACAAACTTACAGTAAAAATTAAATATACATGTAATTGATAAATTGATTGTATGTAATTATTTATGACTATCAATATAAACACTTTTCATAGTTATAAAAGAAAAAATCTGAGTTTTTTAAGCCATTATACAATGTTTGATTCATTGATTGTTTTTTCAATCTAAAGTTTTAGAAGTGAAAAATCATTGACATATTGACAAAGCTTTAAGAGCCTCATCTATGATACATCAATAAATAATGTAAAATTATGCTTAAGTACACTTACTTATTTTTCAAACTCTTTATTTTTTACATCAAGAGTATCTTTGACCTATTGTTGCAATATTGATTAAATTTTAGGATAATTGAGTAAAGTTTTATGGTGAGCATCTTTTTTTGGATTTTTTTCCAGGAAGTTGATCAGTGTTGAAAAGATGATAGATTATCAAGCAGAAATTGCAAGCAAAATGCAACAGCATTACTTGTATTTTATAAGGGATGTATTTTTAAAAATCAACACTTTAAATTATACCATATTATGATGCCACTCAATTTTTTTTTAGCTTTCAATGATGTTTGTTTTAATTCATTTTAAAGCTCTTATTACATGTCAAAGTTTCAAAAGAAATTACAGGATTATTGAATGAGACAATTGTTGATTTCAAGCTTCTTTCAAATTCTATATTTAAACCCAATATATCTAATGTTAGCTTCTCATATGTGAGATCAGTCTAAAGTTTGAAATCAATGAAGCAATATAATAATTTTTATTCTTACATTTGACAGCTTTACAATGTTGAGCATCAATGCTCCTGCATTTTCTGGCCCTCAGCATTGACTTCTAACTTTCAAAAAAAAGAACAATATATAAACTGTCATCATTTATTTTTTGTGACTAGGCTTTTAACCCTTTACCCTTTTTTCTGCTTTGTTAAATTGTCACTATATAAACTAAGAACAAGAAAAAAGCTGAAATCATATGACAAGTTAACGAAAACAGAAAGACAGTAAGAGAAAGTGAAATTTTGTTATGTTTCAAGCTTCTGAAAATTATGAAGATAATAAATTTTATTGAATCAAAGGCATGGAGTGTAGCTTGTCATACCCAGACCTAAAATCCTTGCCAATTACTCAAAGATTTTATCAGCTGAGTTTGCACAAAAACATGTCTTATAGTACATGACTGAAGATTGGATACATCACGAGGGATTGGATTTGTCCTACTGCCCAGACAGAGCACCAACACTCTCCCAGAAACTGTATCATGCACCAACATTGGAGTCAGATTCACATGGACTACAGAGAAGTTAGAGAAGGCTTACCGACATCGCTGTAACAAGGAACTAGACGTTGTAATGGGTTCGACGAGGGGTGCACCGGCCGCAGTCTCGTTAAAGATCATTTCTGTCAATCCCTCTGCCCAGACATTCCATTGAGGTGTTATGGTAGGTTCCGACTTGACATTGGGGTCAAGTGACATTGCAAAGTCAAGGAAAGCATGCGAAAAGGCCTTGTCGAAATCAGGGTTGCTAAACGGAGGAACCCCAGGACTGTGAAAAGGGTGAAACTTGTAATCTACAGAGCCTGGAGGAACATTGCGTACGATGGGAAGTAATATACAACGTCGTCTCCGTGGTGAGCTGGTGGAATGGCAAACTGTCCCTGAACGCATTTGGAGTCAAAGGATGGGAACCCAGAGGAGAGACGGGCTCACTTTGAACGACTTTTCATTAAATGCATGCATGAGATAGTAAGTCGGGCATTTGAAAATCGCTAGTAAAACATGAAGCAACCTAGGAGGACCAACAAAAAGTAAATATAGCAACCTTCGCCCTGGATAGCATTAGCCTGGTCTATGGGAGCACCGAGACCTGCATACTGGGCCGTAGCCCTCGCGATATCTTGTGCGTCAAGCTTGGGGAACAACTGGCTGACGTACTCCGGAGTTGTGACTGTGTCAGCTGTACTTTGATCTACGAAAATGAAACCTTCCAAAGTATTCGTGACTGCGAGCAAGACCTCCTAGATAGGAATGGGATTCTAATGGTAGGTGACAACATGAAACAGGCGCACTCCGTTGGTTTTGTTTTCCTTCATAGCTTGAGTTGGTCGCTGTGTGATGAGAGTCCCATCCACAACGGGAACAAAAATAAAAGTTCCGAAAAATGCACTAGTCGAGAGGTTCACGTTGATATTTTGCAACGTCGCGGCGTCAACTGTCCGCAGACAGGCAAGAGTGTCTGCGGATGATGCGCAACTGAATTGTGTGAGGATCACGATGAGAGGTAGGCACTTCGAAGGTTTACCTCGCTTGAGAAATTACTTCATTGTAAAGCGTCTAGAAAGATTCCAAAATTATGAGAGCATTCTCGAAGAAATGCAAGGACCGACCTGGGGAATAATATCGTCATAGGGATACTGTGAAGGCAGGAAAGTTGAACTCGTAATGGCTGCTCGGAAAAGAGGCGGTGATGTCTTCCCGTCATGCGCGATTACATGCTGAAGAACTGAACCTGCGCCTAGAGGAAACGGAATCGTTCTCAGCAGGACAACACCAACCAATCGTGATCAATCAGGTAATTCACCAGCAGATTCCCCCCAAATCGCAACTTGAGTCGGGTCACCGCCGAATTTGGCGATCTAGGGAAAATGAGACATACTCCCTACTCAAAGAAGATAAGTCAATCTTACATTCGTTTGGACCCACTGCAACGCAAACTCTTGGTCCACTGGTCGGAATACTTAGTCAGTCGTTTTAAGACACAGAGAAGGAGAATAACGCACATAACCCTGCATTCAGTACGCCTCCAGACTTGACCTCCTTCCCGGCTAAGAAGCCATAGACCCCCAGTCGGTACTGGATCACTACAGCAACGACACCACCGTTGGCTT